ACTCATATGTATCATTTGATAAAGTTTTGACCATAATTCCTCAAGAAATTTGATCAAATCATCAAAAGGGCAAAATGGTCAAAATTAGGGTTTTGATTGAGAAAGGGCAATTTCTGATTTTTGACCTGGAAAATGACCAATTGATTTGAAGCATGATTTAAAGGATTCAATTGTATCATCTTGACCTAATGACATGGTTCAAAACATTGCATTTTTATTGGATTGACAGATGAAATTTGCAGTCAACTGATCAAAATTCAACTGTTTATTGAAAAGTCAAACTTTGACTTTTTGGTCAAAATCAAATGCCAAGGATCAAAATTTATTAAAACATGTCAAAATTTGAAACTTATTCATCAAGGAATCAAGGATTGAAGATTTGGTTTTGAAATTTGGAATTTTTTTAACTTAGAAATTTTTCTAAGTATAGAAAATTTCTTATTTTTTCTCAACTTTAAGCCAAATTTCCACCATGTTACAAGATCATTCAAAAGAAATTCCCAACATAAAAGTTGTAAATCTCCATGAAATATAAAACTTTTCTTCACACATTTTTCCCTAAAGATGCTTGGATCTCAAGATATAATTTTATGAATACATGCTCATGAACTAAAATAACTTAGTGAAATTTTGCCCTAATTTAGGCAGATTTTTGACCTAACTTCATGGCGATTTTTCACCTAGTTCCAAGGGGAATCTTGAAATACATTTCAAAGATGAATTATAGAGCACATTTCAATATTTACAAAATGTCTAAGAAATCCTTGAGATCATTTTTTAGTAGGGGGAATCGAAGAAATGAAATTGGAAATTTCTCACTTTGATTTCAAGCCATTTCATGAAGAACAAAATTCAAATCTGAACCTATGCTACCTAATCCTTGCTTTACAGGTCTCAAACTTGTTTCTCACTTCATAATTTAATGCTTACACAGATGATAAAGCCTTAATCCAAGCACAAGAGTCTTTGTCGAAGTTTTAATTCCATAAATGGCACAAAGTTGCCATTGCCATTTTGGAAAAGCATAACTTTTGCAACTTTTCACTTCTTGATCATTGGACCTGTTTTCTCTGCACACACAAGCCCTATAAACCAAAAGCAAGTTGTCTAGAACTTGTACCAACTCCAAGCAGGTCTGTACAAGCATGTAGGGAGTGGTCTCTTCACCTTTCTTAAAAAGCAAGTAAGAGTGCAAAAAGGCTACAACTCAGAAATCTGTTGTGTAGAGGATTAGAAACCTTCTCTATACTAATACAAAAACACATTACAACTTAGAACACGATTACTCAAGGACAAAAACACTCAAAAACTCCCTATCACCAAAAACCTGTCAAAACTTGCAGTTTGAGACCAAGCATAGCAATCCACAAATCTACTCGTGTGTTTCAAGTTTTAATCACTCAAACACCTTACCTACCTCATATCTAAGTGTTCCAGACCATCATCCCTTCATTGTAACTCCTACTTCTTCATCTTCCATTTTTGTTTTTCAAGCTTGCAGTTTGACTTGGATAGAGAGATTCAGGCACTTTCAAAGCAAGGCAAGGATTGGAACACACTCAGGGAGGTTCAGGCAAGCTAAAGGAATCTTCAGGCCTTCATAAATCTCACTCAAACTCCATTCACAATCTCAGTTGAAAGAGGTAAGAACTCCAACTTTTATCTCTTCATACAGGTATCCATTGGCCACGATTTATGAAAGGAAAATGTAGATATTATTATTCCAAAACCAACCATGTTCATAAAATTAATTTATATTCGTTGCGTATAGAGAATTTTAGAGTTCAAATTTCTGTAAAAATTAGGTTTAAAATTAGGGCTTTTAAAATTCATTTTGATCTTTGATTGTTAGTTTACATAAGTTACATGTCTGAAATCGTGGGAAAGAGTACTATCTTTTTCATGTTGGAAGTTTCCATTTTCATGGAGAAATAAGAAAGATACAGAGGTTATGGCCAACTTGAGGAAGAAGACGAAGTACTGGGCAAGGAAGGGATTCATGTTATGTATTTTTGTTTTCATATGAACTAACAGATGTACAGCCACCCTAGTGGCAAGGCAGCGCACTGAGAATGCCAAGGTCATGGGTTCGAGCTTTGGTGCCTGCCTTTTTGCATATTTTCTCATTTTTGGCCATTTCTCTCATTTTTTGCAGCGTGGGCTCAACTATTGGGCTTCATAATTTTTTTCTTCTTTCTGATGCTTACATCCTGTTTACTCAGGATATCCCCTGGCCCATACATTTTATTTATTTGTTTTTATTTTCATTTTTATTTTATTAAATATTTTCTTTAACATAAAAAATAAAAAACATGATAAATATTGTATTTTATTTATTTTATTTTATTTTCACATAAAAAAATATATTTTATTAAATTATATACTAACTATTTTTCTTAAATAAACTTGTAAAAATAAATTAAATTTAGATATATTTTTATCCTTTTTTTTAGACTTATAAATATTTATTTTGATATATAAAAAGACTAAATATTACACAAAATATTATCTATTATTTTTAATACAAAAAATACACAAAAACAATACTTAAAGAACTTTATTTTCTTTTAAATTAGAAATTAGGGTTAACCATTTTCAAGAAAAATTTTCCCTTTCTTAAATTATTAGGATTAGGTCAAAACTCTTTTGCATATGAAAAACAAAGCAAATTTCTTTTTTTTTTCTTGTATATACATAACATTGTATATTTAAATTATATTGTATATTGTTTATTCAAATACTTGTACAAATTCGATTTGGTTGTAATAGCTTAATTAAATTTACATTATTGCAAATCCCCATTCATAATTTGTATACCCCCCCCCCTCCCATAAAATGTTGTAATAGCGTAGTAATCTTTAAATTACGCAATTTACCGCTTTTATATACCATGCTAGTAATTAGGGTTTGAATGACAAGATCAAAACAAATCAAATAGAAAACTCTAATCCAATACATAATCAAGCATGAAAATAATATACTTGCACACAAGCATCCTTAGGGTTTCTCCACCTGGTTGCCTTATACAAAAATAGCCATATTACGCATGCGAAGTATCTTGGCAAAACAAATAAATATAAGATCATAGTCCCTCGATGACGCTATTCAAAGTTGCCTTACAAAATGATCTTGGTCCCTCAAAATGCTAAGATACTTTGCAAATATTGCTAATCATGGTTATACGATGACCTACACCCATCCCTTTTACATCCAAAGATAGGGTTGCTTACCAAATCGATGGTAAGACAACAATATCAAAGGAAAAGAAAATGAACAAGAAAGACATTTTGAGTAGGTAGATTACTTTTGGTTACTTGCTCCATTTCAAACAAATCTCCTTGCTATTTTCAAAAAAAACACACACATTTCAAAAACATCTTACAAATATTGAAAACATTTTCAAAAAGACAAACATCTTATATACATTCTTACGAATGAGAATCATTACAAAGATTGCCTTAACAATGACCTCTTTTACAAAATACTTTCAAAACCACACAAAGCACAATTTTAAAACAAAAAGAAAGTGATCAAGCATGTAACTAAGAGCCCATGGAAAACCATGGATGAAAAGGGTGCTAATACCTTCTCTTTTCATAATCTACCCCCCGAACTCAAGAAACAATCTCAAAGGTCTTTCCTGTGCTTTTTCACCTTTCCTTTTGGATAAAAGAAAAGTCGGTGGCGACTCTTGCTAACTACGACATTTGCGATAAAACACAAAACCCTCAAGTCAGTTCTCCCACCGTATCACAAAGGTGTTTTCAAAATATTTTCAAACTTACACCAAATCAGAAACACATTTCAAACAAAGCAATTTCAAAAGTGATCTAACAAACAACTAAGCCCGTAGATAACTACGGATGAAAAGGGTGCTAATACCTTCCATTTTCATAACCTACCCCCCAAACTCAAGAAAAATATCTCGAAAGGTATTTCCTGTTCTTTTCTCCCTTTCCTTTATTGGATAAAAGAAAAGTTGGTGGCGAGTCTTGCTATCCATAATATTTTGCGATAAAACGCAAAACACCCAAGTTAGTTCTCCCACCGTATCACAAGTGCAAAACATTTTTTGAATTTCAAATAATTTTTTAAAATTTAAATAGCAAAAGGTTTTGTTAATTCGGTTAACCATACCGACTTAAAAATGGAAACGGATCTGACTTAAAAAGTGCTGACAGCTTTTTAAAAAATAAGCTTTTTATGCATTTGAATCAAAGGTTTTTATGCATGAGAATTTTAGAGATGAAAATGTATAAAATATTTTGAGCATATAAAGTGTATACATAATGAATTTCAATTCATTACCTTAGTATCAAGATCAATTTTCTTTACTTCCAAAAATGTCCATAAGCTTATGCATTTTTTATTCCAAAAATATCCATAAACTTATGCATTCTTGATTGCAAGTTTTTTCTGCTTTAATATTTCTTTTTTGATAAAATTTTGTCTTCATCAAAACTAAATTAAAATAGATGATGAGCATCTTCTTCACTGATAGAATATGTATTTAGTTGTTAATAGTATATGTGTGTATATATGTGTTTAAGTCCCACATCGACTATAACATATAATAAACTATAAATCTCTCTATATATAAAATAGTCTCCATAGTGCTATTCTCACACGGTTGATCTCAATATATCTCAATAACTTACATGTTTACATGTGAGGTAAAGATCCAAACCTAATTAAAGTCATTGTCGTATCCAAATTAGCTCTTCTCCTAGTGTCGTTGCCTCTTCTCTTTAAAAGCTTCCACTGTCATAGCTCCTACCCCAGCACCGTCGTCACTGTTGTTCCTCCTCCAGCACCATTGATGTTTCTCCTCCTCTAGCACCACTTCCATCGTTCTTCCTCCTCCATCACCACCTATGCCGCCATAGCTTCTCCTCCAGCGCAATCGCCACCGCCATAGCTCCTCCTCTAGCACTGCCGTTGTCATAGCTCCTCCTCCAGTACTGCTGCCACCGTAGAATATCCTCCAACACCACAACACTATGTCTTCCTCTTCCAGTGATGAGTCTGAGCATGTTTCTACCAAGGTTGACAGCCCCACCAAGTCGTCCTCTTCCTCAAAGAGACTGGAGTTTCACCCATCCCTTTTTGTCACTAACATCAAAAAGAACATTCACTTTGTTCTAGAGATGGAGAAAGATAACTACACCATACGGGATGAAATGTTTGAAGTTCACGCTCGTGCTCACAAAGTGGTCCATCACATCATTTCACAACCAGGAAAAGAAAAACCCGCCTCTACTGATACTGATTTTGAAATGTGGATAACCCTTGATTCCACAGTGCTCCAATGGATTTATTCCACCATCTCCCTTGATCTCCTTACCAGTATTTTGGAAAAGGGATCCACCAGCATGGCTTCTTGGAAACGTTTAGTTGATATGTTTGAGGTTAATCAAACTCATGTGTTCTTTCTCTTGAGCATGACTTCTCATCCACCTGCATGGAGGATTTTCCTAATGTCTCTGCCTATTACCAATATCTCAAGCAACTTTTTGATCAGTTGAAGAACGTTGGAGCACCTGTTAGCAATCACTGCTTAGTTCTTTAACTAGTGTTTAGTCTTTCTGTGCCGTACCGTGGGGTTGCTACCTTAATCCACCAAATCAAACCATTTACATCACTCTTTCAAGCTCACTCCATACTCACCTTGGAGGAATCCGGTTTGGCAAAAATTAACAACACTGGTTCTCACATTACCTTGCATAGTGTTTCTCAGTGCAACTCCAATAAATCCTCTCAACAAAACTCCAATCATCATCAGAACAACCGCTATGGATCTAGCCGCAACCGCAACAATTGGGACTGCAACAGAGGGTGTGGATAGTGTTGTGGTTCACACTCTGATGGTCCCCCAGCAACAACTCCCTCTCATCCTTTCAGTCATGGTCTCCTTGGGGATGAAACCCACCTCCTTGGGGTATACCTCCTTTCCCTTACCCTATATCTCAATGGACTCACCCTACCGGAACTTTGAAGTAACCATGCATCCTAGGTTAGTGCCCTCAGGCTCACACTGACATAGCTTCCCTAGCTCCCACTGGAATTGTCACTGATATGCACACGATATCCCTCAATACTCCAAATAACTCGTGCTACATGGACACTGGAGCTTCGTCCCATACAACAACATTACAAGGTAATCTCTCGTCTTTATTCTAATTTGAGTCATTTGAATCATAAACTAATTGTTGGAAGTGGACAAGGTATTTAATTCAAGGTTCTGGTCACACAACTTTACCTACATCTCACAAACACAAACCTTTAAACCTTAACCATGTTTTACACACACCACAAATTATTAAAAATTTGATTTCTGTACGACAACTCACTATTAACAATAATGTTTCTATTTCCTTTTATCCATTTGGTTTCTCGATATTTGACTTTCAGATGGGGATTTGTCTCATGAGACGTAATAGCCTTGGTGATATCTATCTGACCACCTTTCACTCTCACTTTGTTGGTCTTGCTTCCAATCTCTAGCACAATCGTCTCGACCATCCTAGTCATTCTATTTTGCAGTCTCTTCATAAAAATTAGTTCATTAGTAGTGAATAATTTGAATATAAAGACAATTTGTAATTCATGTGTGTTTGGAAAACATGTTAAGTTACCTTTTAATTCGTCCAAAAATGTCACTTTAATTCCTTTTGATATTTTACACAATGGTTTATGGACCACCGATTTTAAGCTCCTCCGGTCATCAGTTTTATGTTTTATTCTTGGATGATTATTCTAATTTTTTATGGTCATTTCCTCTAAGCAATAAGTCTCAAGTTTTTGAAAAGTTCACCTCACTTTCTAGTCAAATTCACACACAATTTTCTCGAACTGTTAAATATTTTCAATGTGATAATGGGTGTGAATATAATAATTCAGTATTTCATAAATATTGTGTTGATAATGGTATTATTTTTCGTTTCTATTGCCTTCACACTTCATCACAAAATGGAAAAATGAACATAAAATATGCACAATTAACAACATGATTCACACTCTTCTCGCTCATTCATTTGTCTCTTCCTCGTTTTGGCATCACGCACTTCAAATGGCCACCTATATTCTTAATATCCTACCCCAAAAGAATTTGTCCAATTACTCCCCTACCCAAAGTTTATATCATTGTGATCCCTCCTTCACACATCTTTGCATCTTTGGTTGTCTTTGTTATCCATTGTGTTGTACCCCAAAATGTTCCCTCCCATTTTCTTAAAAACATTCTCATGAGGTCCCCATTTGTTCAAAACTACTAAAGAGTTGACTGGTCAAAACCATCTCCTAAGCAAGGGTCTTCAACTAGGGTTTTTTGCTTCTCAAGGAAGATTGGATTGCAAGGGTCTCAAATTACTTTCATGGTTCATCATAGGTCCTCAATAATGCTTATGTCAAGTTTCAAGTCTTGCATCACATGTTTGCTCAATCAATGGCTCGGAAGATTGAAAGTCAATTGTATTGGGTAAAAAGTAAACTATGGTAAACATACAGTCAAACTTCAATATTTTTTGTCAACATCAACATTCTGAGGTGATATTCATCATTTTATCAAGGGTTGATCATGATTCCTCAAGGAAAGCCCTCAAATCATCAAAGGTCAAAATTTGCCAAAATTAGGGTTTTGACTGAAGATGACTGATCATTGACTTTTGGACTAGTGCATGACCTAATGGCTTAAAGCATGATCTCAAGGTCTCAAATACAACATCTTGACCTAATTACATGGCTTAAGATATCTTCAAAGATACAAGTGATTGACAGTTGAAGAATTGAACCAATTGAAAGAAAAGTCAACAGTTACTCAAAAGTCAAACTTTGACTTTTTGGTCAACATTGGAATTCAAAAATCAAGAATCATCAAAACATTCAAAACTATCAAACTTCGTCATCAATAATCAAGAAAGTCGACAAAAGTCAAAATTGAAGATTTTTCAAACACTAGAAAAAAATTCAAGTTTTTATGCCTCAAAAACCCTAACTTCACAAGCAAGTTTCCTCAAGATACAAGTTGAGTAAAGGAAAACTTTCAACATGAAAGTTGTAGGGATTAATGACTTCTATAACTTTGTTAATGTGAGATGATCCTCAAAAAGTGCTTGGATCAAGAGATATGAGCCCATGAAGTTGTGATATTTTTTATCCAACACTTAGAAAAAATTTCAACAAGTTTTGATCAGTTCTTTATCCTAACTTTTTGGCCAATTTTCACCAAGTTCCCATTTGATTTAGCCAAAATGATCAACGTGAAAGTTGAAGATCATGTTTCAAGCTTTCCAAAATGTCCAAGAGCATGAAAAGATCATACTAGAGCTGAGAGTTTCGGAGAGATGAAGATGGCATGTCAAACTTGAATTATATAGGTCATTTTTATGATGAAATCATAATCAAATCTCATGGCCATGCCTTGTAATCTCACTTTGTAGGCCTCTAACCTCCAAATCTTGCTATAATTAAAAGATTACATAAGCTTTTGAGCTATGGTCCATTTGATTCAAGCATTGTCCAATACATGATTCATTTAATTGCACAAAGTTAACACTTCCATTTTGGAAAAACATGCTTTATGCAATTGTCAACTCTCCTTGAGCCTCTAACTTGTTGCCTCTGCATACACTCAACCTAAAAAATTAAAAGAAACATGTTTAAAGTGTTCAACCACTCTAGAAGGCATGGTACTAGGTATTGGAACTTTGATCTCACAAGAAAACTTTAAGTTACATTTCAGCCAAGCCTTAACTCCGTAACTTACAAACCTGATCAGCCCTTGCACTCAAACCCTTTCTCTATAAATATAGAGTCCATTTGCAAGCCAAAATACGAATTTAACAACTCCAAAACACCCTCAAATTCTCTCAAACTCAGAATCACCAAGAAACCACCATTGTTGCACATTTGAAGCTTCCAACACCCAACTTCAAATTCACTCATGCGTTTTCCTCTTTTATCATCCTAACACTTCATAAACATCATATATCTAACTCATTCGTACCCTTGTTACATTTCTGTAACATCATCATCACCATCCATCAAACTCCATAACTGAAGCTTGCAACTTGACTTGTTAGAGGAGATTGAAACACTTTCAGCATAAAGTAAGCATTGGAACACGTTCAGGGAGATCCAAGGAAGCTTTTGGCATCATTTATTTGCACCTAGAAGCATCCGTGCGTGTTCTAAGTTTTCACTTCGAAAGGTAAGTTTTCCAAATAAAACATCAAAATTAACACAGGCTTTTGAGCTATGGTCTATTTGATTCAAGCATTATCCAATGCATCATTCCATTAATGGCACAAATTTAACACTTCCATTTTGGAAAAGCATGCTTTATGCAATTGTCAACTCTCCTTGAGCCTCTAGCTTGTTGCCTCTACACACACTCAACCTAACAAATTAGAAGAAACATGTTTAAAGTGTTCAACCACTCTAGAAGGCATGGTATTAGGCATTGGAACTTTGATCTCACAAGAAAACTTCAAGTTACATTTTAACCAAGCCTTAACTCCATAACTTGCAAACCTGATCAGCCTTTTCCCTCAAACCTTTTCTCTATAAATAGAGAGGCCATTTTCTAGCCAAAATACAAATTTAACAGCTCCAAAACACCCTCAAATTCTCTCACACTCAGAATCACCAAGAAACCACCATTGTTGCACATTTGAAGCTTCCAACACCTAACTTCAAATCCACTCGTGCATTTTCCTCTTTTATCATCGTAACACTTCATAAACATCATATATAACTCATCCATACCCTTGTTACACTTCTGTAACATCATCATTACCATCCACCAAACTCCATAACCGAAGCTTGCAACTTGACTTGGTTGTTGAGATTCAAACACTTCCAGCATAAAGTAAGCATTGGAACACGTTCAGGGAGATCCAAGGAAGATTTTGGCATCATTTATTTCCACCTGGAAGCATCCATACGTGTTCTGAGTTTTCACTTCAAGGGGTAAGTTTTCCAAACTGTGATATCTGGATACAAGCATCAATTGTAAATACATTCTAAAGCAAAAATGTAGATATCATGCCTCTAAAGCTAACCATGTTATTAGTTCTCATTTAAATTAACTGTGTGGAGAGAATTTTGACTCTGAACTGTTAGCGTTTGTTTTTGTACCAACGAATATTCTTTATAATCTTTGAGTTTCAGCTTGAGTGAATTACATGGTTGAATTCATGATTGAATTCCAAGCAAGTTTGGTGTTTACATTTTTTTAAAATGGTTGAGAAATGAAGCTTTTGAAAGAATCGAATATGTTGTTGTTTGTTGTTGGCGCGAGGAAGAAGAAGAAGTGGGAATTTCAAATTTAAAAAATGAGTTTGTAATATATTTACTGGGGGGGCGTGTCATAACTGGATGAAACAGCCACCCCAGTGGTAAAACAAGCGCGATATGACCTTAGGGACTTGGGTTTGAGCCTTAGTGGTACCCTTTTATTTTTCACATATTTGTTTCTTGCAGATTCAGCGCAGGCAAGCCTAGTGCACGCATGGTGCACCTCTGGATAACAACCATCAGATCTCATAACTCCAAATCTAGCACTTCAGAAAGTCCCGCCCATGGTACATCCCAAAGAACTGTCCTCACTGGATCTCACAGGCGCTTGGGCTCCTTTGTTAATGGGCCTGAGAATTTTGCTTTCTAACACCCCCCTCATTTCCTTTCATAACTGAGGCCCATTTAAATTCTTTTTTTGTTTTTTTTAATTGACTATTTTCTTTTCTTTTAACTAATTTTATGTAAAATCATAAAAAATCATAAAATCATAAAAAAATTAGATTTAGGTTTTTTTAATTAATCAATTTAATTTTTGAAAAATAAAAATTAATTTAATTTAATCACTTTGATTTTATTTTATTAATTAATTATAATTAGGTTTTATACTTCATATATTTTTCTAAATAAAACGTCGAAACTATTTTCTAACAATTAGTTTCTTTTTTAAAAAAAATAAAATTAATTTAGACTTCTTTTTTTAATTAAGTTAACTAAATTAGATTTCTTTTTAATTAATTAA